ATTACATGTATGTACTTAATAAATGTTTTATGACATATCATTTATATTACATTATTATATTATTAAACGACAATTTATTATTTAAATGACAGTTGCTTAATAAAAGTATTATTAGGCACCAAAATTGTTTTTTTTTAATACAAGAGGTATATAGGCTATAAATTATGTATCGTATATTATATTATAGTCTATAATATATACGATATACCTAACTATATGTAATATTATACGCATATATATTGGTGGGGCCCAGTGGCGCTGTGAATAGCTGTTTTATGAGGTAACTGCCTCATGCAAAAGTGGGGGTGGATACCCCAATGACTCCAGTCTCCCAAGACCTAGACGGCTAGACTAGTTCATAATTTATACTCACATAGTTACATTTAACTTACATAGGATCTACGTTTAAAATGTGTGAATTTTTTTTGTTTAATTTGTGAAAAAATTGGTGTGCGGGTAAGTACTTACCCAAGGTACCTGTAGGCTGTAGTTGCTTCATAGAAAAAAAAAGTTCACTCCGCCACTGGTAGGGTTCATATCAAGATCTACGCGTAGACTTACCTATGCCATTGCTTTTTAGCATTTTAACTCGATGCCTATACGACTAAATAATATATATGTCACTGTCAATGATGTAAATTAGTTAAATTACGTAAATGCCTAGCCAATGTCATAAATTCCTAACATTAGTAGACGATATCGTGAATGCCCAACCTTTTTTATAGGAATTAATTGACAACATATAGGCAATGTTTTAAGAATTAAATATTTTGTTAACACATATAAAACTATTTATAGGAAATTACCTTAGACTGGTAGACAATGTTGATAATTTTGTTTAGCGAACAATTTAAATAGGTAATATAAGATAAATTATAAACATAATATTACAGAGGTAAATAAAAATAAATTATTTTCACAATTTGATCTATAAGATATTATTTAATATAAAATATGTTCCAGTATTCCCTATCAAAATTTTAAAATTTCAAAAATTACCAATTTCTAAAACAGACAAGCCCCTGAATTTCAACTCCTGGGCGTGCGTAATGCGTATGTGTACAAATATTATAACAAATAACTAAAAAGTTATCATGATTTATATTGTGTAATGTGTACCTGCTATATACAGATGTAGATGACGTATAGATTATAGATGTATGATGTAGCCGATAGATGGCTATCTTTTTTTTACTTATAAGTTATAATATCAATAAGTACCTATAATGGCTAATGCACATAATGTACGACCAACGACATATTAGGTAGGTACATATATCGATTTTCTAGCGCAAGGACATTTCTAATTCAACAAACACATAATTGTTTTAACATTTTTATCAATTATGTCTGAAAAATACCTTAATTATAGTCATTACTTAAGAAATATTTGTAAATGCATCATCGCCTGACAATAATGGTCATAGGCATTATTTCCTAGTTAATCGTATATTCGTATACTATCTAATTTGATCGGAAATATCGTTATCGTTTTCGTAGCCATTGCCGGTAACATATTATATACCCCATTAAGTATATAATTATACCTGATCTGTCTAGCAGTATCCTTTCACCTGTGTGACAGTGACAGTATGTAGGGGCGTGATGGAACAAGATATGGTAGTGGGAGTTATATCCCCCGTTGTCGTTTTCTTGTTGAATTTACCCTATAGAAACTTAACAAATAATAAATGTAAATTCCGAATGATCAGAAATACCTAATTTCAGAAGAGGAAAAAATAATATTGTTGTTCATTGTTCCTATAATCATTACGAGTAAACCATAAATCTTAAATCCTAGATTTTGATAAACAAATGTGGCTATTTCATTATAATCAGCTGTAAAAACTTTAGGTATAGCTGGGCTATATTTATTTCACATATTATAACATAATTAATACGTCATTTTATATGCATTTATAGAGACATTATAGGAATTTACATACCTTGTGTCCTAGTGGTACATATATTGTAGATAGTACCTACCATTGGACCACTGTACAAGTGTGCAGCTTTATCTACTTAATATAATACCTATGCACCGGGCTATGGTAGTATGGTAGGTTATTATACACAAGACAAGAGCTAAAAGCCTAAAAATGTATAATTTATTTCTGATGGTAGTTAATAAAAATGTTATTAAATGTAATAATATTGAAATATATATATATACAAGGCATATTTAGATGCTTGATAATTAATTATTTTACTAATATAGGAGGTAGGTACTTAGTACCTACCTATACTCTGTCCAAGTTAAGAAACGTATCGGCGGCGGCGGCGGCGGCTGCCGCAGTCAAGCAACACCCGTTTTTCACCCACATCAGTCAATTATCTAATACCTGCCGTTGTAACATTGCCACGCCCCTGCGCACAAGTCAGTCGCCGACTACGTTTCTCAACTTGAACACTATATATAATATATATATAGGTACTATACTACTATATTATGATTTATGGCTAAATTAGATTATTTAAAAATCATAAATTTAATATTAGTATGAAGACGTACCTACATAATATTATCGCTCCGATTGTGAAACATGCGTTACATATATGAGTTTATGACAATAAAATAAAATTAAATGTCAATAACAAGATTTTAATTTTTTTATAAGAAATATACAAGATATACTCAAAGGCATAATGAGAATATGTGCTGCAGCCTACAAGAATATAACACATGAAAAATTTCGAGGGAAGAAACCATCCAGTGATCACATCACGATCACACTTCCTTTTGATTATGTATTTATGTATATTGTATACGGTATACCTAGGTATATTCTATTTATTCATTTTTTTTTCTGTTATTATTGGTTTATGATTTATTACCGTTAATCATTAAGAAAATCTCTATTCGCTCCATCAATTTCTTGTTAGATGCCTTGGTGGGTTTCCAGGAATCGTGAAAGTGGCTAGACCGGATATGAGAGGGGTGGGATGAGAAGGAAGTTTGTTAAAAAACGTTTATAATACGTCTAGCTTCTTCAATCTTTATGAATAGTTTTTATTTCTAAGTGAGAGTTACTTAAGCGTAAATAAAAAAAAATTGAGAGTTAATCTATGATGATTTTTTATGAGCTTCTGAAGTGTGCATTTTGACAACTCGTCAAAATCAAAAAAATTTAAAACAATAAAAATATATACCTTTATATATAATACCTTTATTGAGTTAGAAATTTAAAACAATGGATTTATTTATATCTAATAGGTATTTGAAAAAATGACATAATATTCTTCAAACGTTTTTTACCTTTAACAAAAAAAAAGTTTATAAGAAATTTAAACTAATTTTTTATGAGCCTTTGAAGCTTTCTTGAAATTCTTCGACATTGGATTTCAGACCTAAATCAACAAATTGTCATCGAATAATTGTCCTATTTTGTTATAATTCAAAAACAAATAACCATAACCGTAAATACTTGCAATTTTCACCAAATGTTAATTTTCTATGCTTGATAAAATTTTCACTCTTTTCGAACTATTTTAGAAAATAGATTCTTTTTTTGTTTGTTTTTTTATTCACACATGTTAATGTTGTTTTTTTTTGTTTTTGTTCTACGCTCATATGCTTATTTTAACAGTTATAAATAATTGTATATAGGTATTCCAATAAAAGTTGAAAAAAAAGTTATTTTGTTTTAATTTAAAAATATTATTCTATTATTTTATACGAAAAACGATCCTGTCCAGAAATGGTCTGTCATATGATATGAATATATATCTCAGATTTTTCGTTGGAATATTATCTATTTATGAGAAACCTTGTTTTAAGTGTTTAATCTTAAGCTATACAAATTAAACATTATAAATATTTTTCATTCAAATGACAATTAGAAAAGTGTTTGCGATTTTGATGAATTTTATCAAAGCTCAAACTTTAAATGCTTATAAAAAAATAAAGCATATGTAATATTTTTAAATTCCTATCATAAAAACTTAGGAGAAACTTTGTATTCATTTTTCAAGCTTTGTGACACAGCAAAAAAATGTTTTAATGAAACATATAGAAAAACATTTAAAAAATTGAAAATGTCTATAGGTATGAGGTACTTATTGAGCATAATACTCAAAAATCAAAATGTAATAAATATTTTATCATCAAATATTTTACAAATAAAAATAATGTTGTAAAAGTTTGAACTTCAAACACTCACCAAAAATTAATGTGGCATTTTAGTAAACTTTAAATGTACTTAGGCAAAATTCTGTATTACTATTTCTTATCTTAGATATAAAAATAATTTTTTTAGTGAATTTTTAACTCAAAATAGTCTGCAAATGTTTATGATTTTGATAAATTTTATCTAAAAAACGTTTTTACTTTACATATTAATATAGTGATATAATAATACTATATTAATATTATTTACTTATATTGTAGTTTGAATTAACATGTTATACTAATGATTTAAATTAAGCATATTCTTATATGAAATAATTCATTGTATAAAATAAATAAGACAAAATAAGTTATCCTTAAAGCCAATGTACCATAAAATGTAATATGCATGTATGTTGTAACCTAATAAACAATAATATCAATAACGCCAATGCACACTACAAATTCTTAACAAAAACAATATTTATTCAAAGCAAACTATAACTTTAATATTTTAAATATAATAGTTTATTTTAAAATATGATAAATGTATGTATTGTATATAAAATAATATATTAAGCCTGTCAACAATTCAATTTATAATAAATTATAATAGTAAAAATAAATAAAAAATAACTATCACAATATTATAAAAACATAATCACATTATCAAGCTATTTTATTTTCTAGAACTGATAATTGTTTTTTTTTTCTTCACTAAGTAAGTATATACATAATCCAACCATTCAATAACTTTGAAGCATATTGGCAAATACAAGCATATAAAAGTTAAAATTATTATTAAAATATTCTCACTCGTAACAGTCAATTATCACAATAATAATTAATGGAGATTATTTATCAACCGCCAAAAATAATACAAGGGTTGTAAAGATTAACGGCGATTAAATGTATATAGTATATTTGATGCATCTTGAAAATGTTCTGTACAATTTAAGTGTCTCAGTACTTGTCCATTCCACAACTTAATAGAATATCCTAATGCATCATCTCGACTTGAACAAATATTGTTCTCCACTAACCATGTTACAAGCTCAGATCCAGTAAATGTCTTCTTATACTTCCATAGTTTCCACCTAGAACAAAAAAATAATATAATAAATAACATTATATAGGTACCAAAAATCAGTTGAGTTAAAAAAAAATGATTGGTAATTACCTAGTAAGATGAGTAATTTCCGCCAAACACTTCTCTCTGTGTTTAAACATAAAGTTATCACAAGTTTTTCTGGTATCATAGGGAAGTTCTTCCCACGATGGACATTCAATTGGCGATCCTCCCCACCAAAATTTATTCCATCTAAATGTAAACAACATTATATTTTTTTTTATCTTAAAAATAAATTTAACGATAGAAAAACTTACGTTCGCACAATCGGCATATTAATAGATTGATAATTAATACCATAAATCAACAATGTGAAAATCGATTGCCCTCTCATTAAAGAAGTTTCTGAGTAAGCTAATTCAAGATATAATCCATTTGTTTCACCAAATATTCTCCAAATGGCCACAGAGAATGTCTGTTGGCATTGCATTTTTATTAGTACAATTTAGAATATAAGCTTTGAATATGGAATATGAAAATGTACTTACAACAAACATTGAAACTGCTTGCATAATAAGTAATAGAAAATGCTTAAAATATTCATTTTTATCCATTACATTTGTTTCGGTATCATAAAGAAGGCCTTGTTTTAAATCATCGGTGTCAATACAATGAGTGTCCATACTGTAAACATATTAAATATTTAAATACAACAACAAAATGTGAACGGTACTCATGCATTGTCATCTAACACACTGAAATCAATTGCTTAAAATATCCTGCTACTTATTCAATTGTATTGTTTGATACCACTACTGCATACCACTATGGTTAACCTGTGACCACTTGCATGGTTTCCAATACAAATGCATATACAAACTCGCTAAGAGTAAAACTCTACCACTGTGTATAACAGAAATTTGCTACTTAACATTTTTATAATATAAATGTATTTTCAGTTATGTTATTAAAAGAAACTGAATGATATAAACACATTAAAAACAAAATAACAATTTTAGGAGCAACTTAAGTTTGGCAGGGATAATTTTTTACCCTACATGAGTGGCCACGGGTTAAATATAAAATAATGTATAATGAAATCAAAAATTGCCAAGACCATAATATTAACTGGCAATTGCACTCAAAACAATTGTTCACCCAACAGAGATATAATTATTAATTCCGTAAAAACAACTTTAAGTGAGTGTCTAATAGAGTGACTTTACTACTTTTATATCTAAAGTGTTTGTTGACAAATATATTTTGAATTTTAAAAATTTATTTTGTTCTATTCAAGATGATTAAGTGCCATTAATTTTTTTCTAACTAATAATGTCAGTTTGAGTAAATTATAAAAAAACGGGGCCCAGTGCTACAGCTGTTGGCCACGCCTGTGTACAAGAAAAGTAGTCGAAATAATGCTTTTATTTTCAACTTCAGTATCTTATTTCAGTGGGAAAATTAATCTAGTAAATCCATTAGGAAGGACAACATTTTAAAATTCCAGTGGTTTCTAAAATAGCCAGGAAAAACAAAAATAAGAAATTTTTACACAAATTTGGTTTTTGACGGAATCAATTTAGGTTTATGGTGTTACTAAAAAGTGTTCGTAGATACATGCGATTTTGACTGAATGTTTATATTCAGCATTTTATATACACCATAAAATTGTCAATTTGATAAAATGATTGGCCTATTCACTCTAATATCAAATCTAACGACAAATCAGCACACAATTTAAATTAGTGAAAAAAAAATCTGGTATGTCATATATTTGTTAGTGTTCTTTCAATAAAAATAGGCAATGAGCTAACCACAAACTAAGATAGTTTTTGGAGTTAACATTAAGTTCAAGATTCCATAAAGTCAAAAATAGAAAAGTAATGTGGTAGGGAGATATACTTTGAGTGATTAGTTTCAACTGAGACTGAAGTGGCACATATTACATATATTATCAAGGTATAGCAGTTATCCACCCATATGAAAAATAGGAGGGTAGTTGTAGTATACTTAATAATATGACTAAGTTATAGACTTATAGTATTTTTTAAGTTCAAAGTATTTTTTGTAAATGTTACATACAACGGTCAGCAAAAAAGATTTGAAATAATTCTATGCAAGTGGGCGGGTGTAATAAATATTTAAATAAAAACTTACGATTGTTTGGATGTACTTTGTACATCATTTATAGTTTCTGAGTAAACCATTGGTCTAATTATTTTATGTTTTAGGCGTTGATGCAAGACTAAACACACAACAGTACCTAAAAAATATATATAATATGAATATTAAATGTACTTAATACTCTGAAAAACATTTACAAATTATCGATGAAAGAAGAATTGTTGTAAGTGTTGCAGCTTCAGGAGTTCCATAGACATAATTTTGATCAAAATCCGATTTAATAAACAATGGTGGTTGGCAAGTCAACATCAGGACAGAAACCAACAATATTGGCACACTAAAGTTAAAATGTATTTAAAAAAAAATTTCATTAAATCAATAAATTAACTATCATAGTTACCCCCAAGATATTATCATGTAGAAGTAAATGATTTTATTTTGGAATTCATCAGTAAATGGCTTATGCATTATTAGCAAAGTAAAAGCTAAACATGCAGTCCAAATGTAGCAACTCATATCACCAGCTATACTCAACATAAGTTGTATGTATGTTAATGGGTGTGATTGCGGAGTTTCTGATAAGTACTCTAGTAATACTCCAGTACACGAAATCACCTATAACAATAATATTATACTGAATTATCAACTTTCTTTAGGAACAACAATATTAGAATACTAATATTCACATAAATACCTGTGAAATTACTAAACAGAAAACTACTTTGAATGGTAAACTTTTTAGTTTTTTTAACATAACTAAGATAATCCAAAGCTGGAAAATAATAAATCAAAATGTTTAAAAATATTTATACAAAATACAAAAGAGTTAAATAACTTACAGATGCAGGGATGGCGAGTATACTAACATTGAATTGATACCCTTTTAAAGCTGTTATATTATTTGATGGATCCAATTTAGCCACAGATATTATCTTGGCAGTTAAAAACATAATAGGGGCTGAGAAGAATACGCACAGCACCATTGAACTAGCAATCTAGAAAACAGAATTATAAATAAATTATTCATACAATCAACACGGTAAAAAACGGTACATACTAAATCCATTTCAAGATTATATGCTGATGCATAAACAAAAACTGCAGGTGCAGAAGGAATCATTCCATATAAAAATCCAAACATTGAAAAGGCAAGGCTATCATCAGCATTTACAGTACCGAATTTTCCCAAGAAAATACTTGTGAGTTCTCTAATAACTAACGGCAAAACTATCCTACAAAATTCAATAATACATTACAATAAATAGAATTTAAGAAATCTTTGTATATTAATTAGAAATTATAATTTAATATATACATGTAAACATCTTACAATTTAGCAGCAATTAGGAGTAATGGTAAAATTAAAGCTTCTCCTCTGAGTTTATTGATGTTCCCAACCATTCGTAAACCAAGTAAGAACAACGCAGTAGCAGTAAACGCATTACCAAAAGTCTAAAAACCAATTGTATATTATAAAAATTTAGCTGAAACTAAACTAAATAAATTTTACTTACTCCTAAGAACGTTGTAATAATTTTGGGTGGGTCGTGATTAAATACTAAATTAGCTATCATTCCTAAAGCTGTCATAAAAACTACAGGATTACAAATAATGTTCCTTGATATTCGTCCCATTAAAGCAGAACGTCTTGTAGTTTCATGGCGATTATATTCTTGGCCTAATTCCATCATCGCAAAACCAAATGGATTTAGGATAATTAAATTAATAGGAGCTACGAGATAAAGGTATTGAACAAATTCACTATGCTGATGCCTGTAGAGTGCTTCAACTAAAAAATAGAAATAAAACCATACTCAGAAAATAGTTCTATAATTTAATCTATTTTTATAACTTACATATTGGCGCTCCAATAGCAAAATCATTGCTCTGGGTACAGAATATAGCAAATAGAGCAGCTCTAGCTATGTCTGGAGGTCTCGTTACTAATACAGTGATTAAAGCAACCGATACAAATACAAGAGTCTTAGACAGGAGTAGTGATCCCAGAAAAACCAAATTTACAGATGATAATTCCAACACGGCCATATTAACAAATATAAGTGACGGTAGAGCAAATGTCCCAACAAATCTATTCAAGCCAATACCAGCAGCATGACTAACCAGGCCCAATCGTCCTGACAGATACCTGAAATAAAACAAAACGTCCTCTAGTATTATACTTATATTTTAATTTATCTTTTTTTTTTAAGTATTTAATGGTGAAAATCTAAAATAATAAAGATATGGATAAATAATTATATGTATAATTACCCTGTGATAATGATTCCAAAACACTGAAATAATGCATTATACATATTATTCATTAAGTCCTCGTCAGAATCACTTGTATTAATTGCAGTCTTATTTGAAATCATCATGTTATAAAATTGTTTAGCATTTGTATGTGTATTATTGAGTAAACTAAAATAATTAAACAAGATGAATGAGATAAACAAAAAAAAATATTAAAAAGTTCATAATATAATATAAGACATTTATGAGGATTAAGGTACATGTATACATCACCTATTAATATAATTAAAATCTAATGTAACAGTACTATAGCCAAGATTTTGTTTCAGGGGTGACGACTATTTTTTATGGTAGGGGCGACAATATTGTATTGCTGGGGCCAGAGTACTACTGGGTATAGTAAGTCTGATATTTCCTTAAGCACTGAGGCCCCCCTGCTCCTAGCCACGTCGCTGTACTATAAAATGGTCTATATTAAATGATAATTTATACAATAGATAGACCTGAATTCTTCTAAAAGATAAGTATTGATAAAAACTATATTTATAATATGTAATTTAAGATATTATACCTATATAATATTTAACAGTTACCTGTCAAGGCCAACAGTTTTAGGTTTATTCAGGTAAAGAAGTTTAATAGAAATCAACGGCAACAGATTAAGATGATTCAGGGGAAGGGAGCGATTTTTTAATTTATGAAGCTACTAAAATATTTAACACTAAGTTTTAAAGGAATAAAAAATTACATACAAGGCATAACTTACTCACATTCATAATTTTGTCAATAATACACTGTAACTATTCATATTTATCATTTATATTTACCACCTAATATCATCTTTTAAATTTTAATAAAATGTAAAAGTGAAAACATTTAGTACATACAATTTTTTATTTCTTTGGAATTTGGTTCATATTGGGATGTCTAGGTGATCCTATTATTTGGCACTGGTAATCAATATAAAATAAATGTTTTAGTCCAGTTTATGTTTGCTATTCTCTTTGGACATCAACAAAGCAATATCGCAATAGAGTCAAAAATTATTAATTTTTCAATATGAATACTTATATTTTTTTCTGATTTCGTACATAGTTAAATAATATTCTTACGAAATTTTGAACATTTTGGTTTGCATATATATAAATTAATTAAAAACAAAGTACTCCCATTGATATTACTTTAAGTTCAATTCATAAAAATTATTAAGAGTTTAATAAATTACACTCATATAATAATTTTATACTTAATGAGGTTTAACCCTATAATAAAGCCCTATTCTATATTAAGAAAGAAGAATGTCAGGAATCAGGATCAATACTTTTGGAATTCCTGAACTGTGAACATTTAAACTCATACTTCTATACTAAACCTATGAATGAGAAAAATTTTTTTTGTCAACATTCTCCATATAACGCTAGCGCACCAAAAGAAAAAAATGTAAAATACTTTCAAAATTAAACTTTTTTCTCTATCTCAAAACTAAACCACTTATATAAAAAATTATAAAACTACTTATTTGTCTTTAAACATTTTAAACCACTCATTAATTACCAATATTGTATAATTAAAAATTAAAATAAGTTATTAGCTGCAATATATATTTAAGACTTAAATTAAAATACTTAAGTTATACTTTCTATTAGTATTTGGCTTTAATAAACAAAAAAAATATATATTTAGTATAATTACAAGCTTCTTGGTTTTAGTGATTGATATTTTTGTTTTTAGAGTAGATATAACCACAGACTATATTATACACTATATTATGAAAACATATTTTTCATATAGTCTGAAATCACAAGTCCTCTAACATTATGTGGATTTTAAATACTAAACAAGTACAAATGACCAATTGTGTTGAACTGAAGTTAAATAGGTACCCTCTAAATGATGTAGGTAATTAGGGGGTTTTGGAGTCCTACCTACACTTCCCCTCAAAGATTCTGAATCTTTATTTTTTGTCAGTCTAAATGTATTTTAGATATTTAGCAATAATTGTTTAAGTCGTATGCAGCATGTTTGAGTCTTGATGCTTAATACTTTTCCAGAAATTAATTTTATCTAAATAATATGATATTAATTTGGCATACTCAAATGATCAAGAAGAAATAATAGAATTAACCAAAATACCAAATAGTAAAGTGTAAATAAATACTAATATTTATTTATGGTATACTCATGTATCATTGTTTATAATCTTTTAGATAAAATCTAATAATTCGCTGTTTGTTAATCATATGTACCTTCTTATCTAACTTATCTACTTAAATTGTCATGGATATTTATTTATCATAAACAAAAAACATCTATTTTTTTTTTTATAGGTATATTTCCTATATAGTGTATACATTTTTAACTATAACTATATAAATAATATATCTTAATATATATTGTAATAGGTAGGTATATTCAACTTAGGCATAATTAACGGGATACAAAGTAATAAATGTTATAAAAATATATAAATATAAATAATATAAATAATATGAAATTTGGTGATAGTTATTAGTTATTATAAAATACATTTAATATTAAGAATAATATTATATTTTTAGTATACCTGGTAGAAATAAAGACTAAAATAATTTGTTTTGTCATTTTGATAAACAAAATAAAACTTGATTACCATCTCTTATAATCTATACTAATACAATAATAACAATAACTATTATTTCAATACTCACAATAATACGTCTTTTAAAGCTTCAGAATCCGTAATTTCCATAGTGATAATTGTTTTGATGGGCAAAGCCTATAGCTTAAAATGAAATATGCCCTACAAGTTTAAGGATTCATATTAAACTTGACAAAATATAATTTAAATTAAAAAAATTGAAAAAAGTTTTAATAAGTTAGGTATATAAATCACTTGACACTTATACTTTGGCAGTGTACCTACCAAATAAAATAAATTAATGGACTGGACCGAACGCAGAATTCTGTAAAGAGTGTGTGAAATCAAACACACCTTGAAATTCAAAAATGATACAAAAAAAATTCATCCACACAGTATTCACAAATTAACACTGATCAAATTCCAGAACAAAAGTTGAAGAATCATTCTGTCTCCGCGGTGGCTGAATTCGCAGAACTTTTTAACGATGTAGGAATTTCACTATTTCCGGTTCCGTTGTTAAACACACCAGTGTTACTCTTACTCACACAAAATTATAATAAATAACAAAGTACATTTTTTGCTATTATTAGTTATTACATCCTGTTCGGACGTAAGACAGTCACTGACTCACTGTAGTACTGAACAGTGTACATTGCACAACAGCACAACGCACAAAAACTACAAAGCACAGAATACAAAATTACAAACTACAAATATACGATAACGATTATCATTAATTTATTATTGCTACGGAGTACGGAACAGTCTGTGCCCTAGTGTGGTAGTATATAGTATCACAGAATAACGTAGTATCAAGTATGACGAGAATCGAGAATGTGCAAATCATAAATTAGAATAAATTAGAAACAGATAACAAAACAAAATAATCAAGCCATCAAGGTGTATTTATACCACGAACTAAGATAAAGATAAGGTCGGGACACTTCCCTATTTATAACAACGTTAATCAACTCGGTCACTTCGAGGCTAGAGTGGACATTTTAGTTGAGTTTTTCGCCGCTATTTTATTAAGCTCTTCGAACAGAACTTTGTTATTGTTATGTGAACAATTTTAAATATTTTAGCGGCAAACGAAAATTAAATATCAAACAAATTATAATTATTGTAATTGAAATCGGAAATATATTTATACATAAGATTAACATAGAAGCATAAATAGATGTTCAATTGTATACATAAATGAAAATATAAATTATGTTAATATAAAATATTTATCAGTATCTACCTATTTTTTTTTTTAAATCAGTAATATACAATCTATACCAGATGACACAATAAGCATATAGGCTCAGAGTAAAACTAGACACGATAAAATTGAATAAAGAAGCCACCCATTGGTGACACTTACAAAAGGAGAGCTTATACATGTTAGTTAATTATGTTAGTTAATCTCGGGACCACTTACGCTTTAGGCACCTTGGGGTAGCTACCACTAGCTACCTAGGTTCTTGATTAGAGGATTTTTGTGATAGTTTGTTCTGGTGTGAAATCGTTTGTAGTAGGCCTTGGCTTCTTCGTTAAGCGTTTTTAGATTTAGATCTGTGGGGAGTGAGAGATTTGATACATAAGGAGGGGCATTCAAGATTTTCTTTATGGCGATATTTTGGAACGTTTGAATTTTATTTAGGTTCGACTTTTTTGCGTTTCCCCAAAGCTGAATCCCGTAGAGCGTAGAGCCTTATAAAGGTTTAAGCAGGGATTTATAGATGAGCAGTTTGACATTTGGAGAGGAGTACCTATTTATTATTATGAAACAGAGTTTTTTGCATTCTTAGTCGGTTATTTAAAGTCAGCCTTTGGATTTGATGTGAGAGACCCAGCCACCCAGGTTAGTCTTTGGTCAAATGTGAGGCCCAGGTACTTGACTTTAGATTAGGAGGTGATTTGGGTCCTTATAAGGTGACGCTAGAGCAGGGTGCAAATCGTTGAGTAATGGTTGTATGTATTGATTTGTTAAGATTAACTTTAAAGCACCAATTTGTAAACCAGTTTTTCATCGAGTATATGTGATTTTGTAAATTTTCAGAGGCAATTAGAGGGTCAGCATTGATTGAAATTAAAACATAGTATCTACCTAAATTTAGAATTTTGTTTTCACAAATATATTTGTCAGTTGTTAATATAATATCATGCTATTGTATTTTTTAAAGCTGGGCAAGTTAATGATATTTTTTAGCTGAGTTATCTTAAAGTTTACATATCGACATCCTATAAATATGAAATATAATAATATCCCAACGTCTTGGAAACATGTTTCTATAACATTGCAAGGATATTAATATGACGTTACAGCAGCCGATAGCTTAGCAACATTTTTATGAAAATTATTTGATTATAATATACCTAATTATGACACTTGTGCCTAAAATATGGCCTCTATCATACACAAATGACATTGCTTTTTGACAATTTGGTATTAAAGTATTATATTATATAAGTCCCTGAGTCCCCCCCCCCCTAAATTGTAAAAACGTATCCAAACTGAATTATATTCATGTTTATTTCAGGGTTTATTTCAGGTATTTCAGGTACATTAATAAATAAGAGGACGCCACACTCGCATGAGTCTCTAACCTTACATGTGCGTACCTAATTGAATATTCGTAAAAACCAACATTTGAACACAGATTAGGTTCTATTATCATCAAGTACTCCTAATAAGTAGATTCACCCTAATTTTTAAACTAACGGAGATAAACATTATCTGCTAAATGTAAATTTGTTATGTTACACATTTGTAAGACGGAGACAATACTTGCGGATGTGGCATCCGCTTAATTGGTTAGGTTTGTTGGAAATTGGAATATGCTTTTAGTTTTGTCAAATACTGTCATACTGATTTATAATCTTTTTTATCAATTAGATTCCTCATAAATATATTATATACAAAATAGATCTATTTATAAATAAAACATAACAATATTTAAATAACCTATTTTAAACCTAACCATTACTCAAAACGCACTACTTTGTTTAATTCCTTAAAATCCCTTAATATCTCCCCTAATCTATATTCTATTCTCAATTCTAATTCTGAAACTGTCATTAATTTAATAATAACCTTTATTCTGGAGGCTGGCTTTAGAATTTAATTTTTGTAATATTATATTTTGTTTTGTATTCTTTCTCGTTTATTGTATTTGTATCTTCTATTAATTGTTGAGCTATAATTGTATTTACAAAAAGCTAATAAAAAAAAACCTAACCATGTCATAATAATTTTCATAATTTAATTTTATACATTTGTACTGATAAGTGTACCTACGTTTGTATTGGACGTTCTTACTTCTTGGTTCTTCATAGTATTTTGAACCGTTATCGAAGCATCATCTTATTTTGCTCAAAATATCCAATAATATTGTAAAAAAAGGTAGGTACCTATGATATTTTGATTGTTTTTCAAAATATATTCATTAATCATTATTAATATACTTATTAGTTATTATATATTGCAGTCAACGTTCTTGGGAGACATTCCAAGTAAAGATAGTTTGCCGTAATAAAACATATGGTAAGGATAATCGATAGCATCTTATTACACATGATTACATTACTATTGTAAGTTGTAAGTGCATGAGTTTCACTAAAGACAAATTATTATATTAAAATTTAAATAAAATCTGTACAAAATTCATGAATATTATGACAAGTACCTACTCGTTTCAACTATTCATTATACTATTACTCGTTGGCCGTTGCACTCTTATAAAAAAATAATTCAAACTATTACTAGTTACTAAACATAGGTGCTGACCTCATTATTTGTAATTAGGCCATACTTATTTCAATTCCATTTTGTTAATTTTTTTTTTAGTATAGTATTTTATCAGGGTATCAAAAGTACACTTTAGAGGCGCTTATGTGTTAAATGTAAATACTTACACCTAGTCACATCATAATATTAATTGTTTATAATATTATTATTCATAAATTTCAATTTTTTTTTTTAGCGCATCACTTGATGTATCACATCAAGATAATTTTAATAAACATGTCACCAAAAATTTGTTGAAGAATCGTCACCCACAGAAAATGAAAAAATTCATGTTAAAAAAAAGAACACAAAAGCAACTATTATATATATGAGGTGGTGAGGTGCCTCAGATTAGAATAATGATGAAGGTAAATTAATTTTCATAATAAAATTATTATTTTATTGCATTTAGGATTAAGCATTTATGAACTCGACTGCCGGAAAATTATTGTTCTCTTCAGTATTTTCTTTATTTGTATTTTAATAGTTTATACCAGCGGTTCCCAAACAGTGCACCGCGTGCACTTTCCGAGAAAACCGTGACTCATAAAAAATTATTCAAAATTAATTGTAATTTTTGGTTATTTAAAATTAATCTTCTAAAAAAATGTACTCCCTGTATTTAGATTCGCTGACTGATTGAATTGAAACTGATTGTTAATGAGAATATTATGTGTTTTTATATATAATTTTCGAGATATTTACGCTGGGCACCATGGTTAATTTTAATCGAAAAAAAAAGGGCACCGCCGAAAGAAAAAAGTTTGGAAACCAGTAGTTTGTAGTATTTAAACATTATACACAGCCGCGGAAGTCAGCCAACTGGACCGTCAACATATATTACAATTTTTTTGCATCCGTATTGTTATTATAAAAATACGAAGATTTGTCAACGATTCTTTTCTTTAGACCTCATCCATTTATTATTTTCCGGACTACAATAGAAATTATTACTAGCCGAGCTCTGGTTTGTACAATATGGATTTATTTCTATTACTAATTATAGTAATTAGTAGCTGTGTTTATTTCATTTCAATATCTCATAAATATATTTGTTTTTATTATTAGAGGGAACCCGCTGCAACATATGCCGTTGGGTGCGTGGGGCGGTGCGGTAGGGTTTTTTTGTAAATTTTTAGTAAGTTTTTGCGTTGTTAGGGTTGTAACACGTGTTTGCGTATATGTGGCAAGGATATCAAGTTGATACAAATACCGAGTGGTCATCCATCCGGAAGCTAGCAACACCGGCCGGTGAGTACACTCAGAGAGGGTACACAACTTAGTGTAGACACCACGCCACACCGCTGACCCAACTTAAGGCTGTCCCACACGACTGGTGTACTTGGCCAATAATGGGCGGTGGTCACTGGTGATATATGACCAACACTGGTCTTTGCTCCTACACGACTGGTGTGTACTTACAAGGATTATCAATGCCAAGTACTGGTATACTTGTCATGGTAATTGTATATTCTCCCACACGAGTTGTATAGTAGTTCACCAGTTAATAAGTTTATCAAGTCCCCTTGCATGGCCAATCAAGCACCATGCCGTTCCATGCCGTGTGGGAGCAAAAGCCAAGTTAAATGTAAACATTGCGGTGGTCCTTTGACTTGTGTCAGGTTTACTGACAATCCACCGGTACGAGCCAGTAACCAACAATATTGTACACGTCATTTTTATTTTTTTCGATACCACAGATACAAGAAAAATCATTTAAGTTTGAAATAATGAATTTTTAAACAATAAGAACTTTTATTGTAGATATCGAAAAAATAAAAACGATGATGCACAGTGCTTAGCTTGGACTACAGCGTCAGTGCCTCAGTGGTTCTATTTCACACAAAACGGTTTTTGCAATGTTTTACGTTTGTAAGACGGAGCAACACATGCAAGTGTGGCGTCCTCTTAAGTTACGTACACTTTAACTAATCGTTTAAACTTTGGGTTTGGAAAAAAAATTACCAGTCATAAATGTCCATGCATTAAATATTTATTTTAAGTCAAAAAGTACATTTAAGCCCCAAAATAATATGAAAACAAACTTACGATTACTTACTTGAAAGTATATCGAGATATTTTATGAAAATAACCCGAACGTAACGAAATATGTGAGTCCGTGTTATATGGTAGGTACACAGCTTAACAACTATAAGTACGACTATTGATGTAAAATGTGTTCATTGAAATTATTACAATAAATTGTTAATCGTCTCTAATGAATGGTGACGATCGGCAATTTCCATAGATATCAGATATTGTATTATATAATATGATAACTTCATAGACCTTATACTCAGTATGTAATCATAATATGTTTCTTCTTATAGCTTCATTGCATTTAGTAAAAAATATAGTATATACACAAGCGTCCGTCGCCTTGCCCTAGACATGGCCTTGTAATTACAACAAAATTTAAAAGTCCCTTATTCGAGGTATTAAACTTACTGTTGGGCCGGATCACACTTTGTCGGTAGCCGATAATACACAACCGATCGGTAAACGACCGCTACATCCATAATTAGCATTAATCCGCGTTATCGGGGTCAGACTGACCGATTCGGCGAACCGATTTAAAATCGTCGGGAACCGGCCGCAACATGCTGCGGTTCACTTTACCGATGCGTTTCGGAAAGTAACCCAAAACATTTAATTTAATATTGAGCCGACCACGCCTACGGACTATCGGTTTCTGTATTTAATATAAATTATAATTTTTATAATTTAAATTATATTGTGTTGTTTTGAATTGTATCGATCTACCTAAATATGTATTCGCGGAGAAATTGATTTCGGAAGTCCAGAGCTATCCTTGTTTATAGGATATGAGTTCTGAAGAATACAGCGTTAAGGAATTAAAAGAATCATGTTGGATGAAGGTAGTTGGATGGTTTATTCTACAAATTGGAATAGTTTTTACCAACAGAAAAAGAAGAAAAAGGTAAAACCTACACATTAATATAACAATATATATTATTTCTACAAAATTAGATATGTAGGTTATATTTTGTTCATAAATAAATATATATTTTAGTATATACAATATAGCAATCTATATAATAGTACATCGTACAAAATAAATACATACCTAATTTTCGTACATTCTACTTTGTCACAACTGTTTTATCATAATATAATATGGCTAATTTAAAGTAGAATATTTAGAAAAAAGTTTTACTTAGTTATACTTCATGGTAACTTTATAATCGAACTAAAAATTATGATAATAATATATAGGTATTTGATTTTAAAAATTTTTTTAAAAATAATAATAAGTATAAGAGTTTAATTTAAAAATTTATCATAATACTAAAATGTTGTTCTATATTGAAATGACACAGCCCTTTGATTTCTAAAATGACTCGCAAAATTATCCCTAATTTCGATTTATGTCTGCCGTGTCCTTGAAAATCGTCTAGGTTATTTATATTTATTAAGCCGTATCTACAATATTTTCATCGTAATTACATCTGTCTCTCTTTCTAACAAAGTTATGCAAAATAGCCAAAACACAACATGCTTGTTGAATGATATTGTAATCACAAAAATCGGGTTCGACTATAGTTGTAGGTAATACCATCGATTATAGAATAATTTACTGGTATTTACACTGGTCGGCTAATATTCCAAAAGCACAGGCGACAATACGTCAAGCTCTCTATATATAGCCCATAATTAAATATTCTACGAAGTACGACTGTACGAGTATATTCATCCCAGTATCCCACGTCCTAGATATGGTCGTAACTCGAAATAAATTAGTGTGTAGTCCAAATGTCTCATCGGCAACAAATACAAATGGTTGTAAATTATTTTCTGTCGATGGCAACGATATCGGATCAGGAATTTGGAATCGATTTGTGTATAACTTTTTTCCAAACATCATGCTTTGTCGAAAAACGTTTGAATCAGCTTCTTGTCCGCACGCTCCGACATCGATAAAATATAAAAATGAAATTTAAATTCACATCTACCACTGCCATAAGTACGATTGAAAAATACTTTTTATGATTATAAAAAGAGACCCAGAATTATTTGGGTTTCTGCATCTTATGTGTTTTCCATCATGAATCCCAAAAAATTTAGAAAATTTGTTTTTTTATAATAAAGTTCATAAATATCGATCCATTTTTCTCTGTTTGGTTCCGGCATTTCTGTGGGTTGTGGCACTGACCATACAATTTGACAAGTTTTACAGACGATTTGGTTAATACTTAATATTTACAATTAGTATTTACAATCTATACATACAGTGTATAATAAGTAAGTGTGGTGACTTAAAGAATATAACAATTAACAATAATAACAATTAAAAGAGAAGGAAGGCTCCCAGCAGTGCCACCTGACAAGAAATTACGGTTTGAAATTTTATTTTAATTCATTTTATCATAATTATTTTTTTTATTTTTTTTGTTTTATTTTTTTTTTTTTTAATTAGGTATTGAGCAGATCTCTTGGCCATTGTCTTTTTAACCTTCTAGGAATAATAGAGGCAGAGGATAAACTTTTAATTATGGGGTTTGAATGAGCGCGGAGGGTTGAGTGGAATTTAATTTTAACTTAATATTTAAAAGTACTCTTGCCAATACGACAAATATCTGCTCAAGCATACATATATTTAATAAAGGAAATAAAAAAATAATTTTAATTTAATTATTTTTACTTGGAAACATTCAAAATAGTCGATTTGTCGAAACTGTCCAAAAAGGTGCTCATTGTATATATGATGATGCTAATATATAAACATTTGGTGAAAATGTCATATATTCAGTTTTAGATTCTGAGCGGAGCGAAAATAATGGATTGATTTTACAATGACGTGATGTGTGTTTTTTTCTGTCATCAATTTTTTGAGTAGTAAAAATGCTCCGATTTTTTTTTTAGATCAGAATTAGATAGAGAATTCTAGATTTAGAAAACAAAAAAAAATAGTAAAATAGGTGATTTCTTTTGACTCCAAGTGTCAAGGTATTAATTGATATAACTTTTATTGAAAATCCAGTAATTTTTTAGTCATTAGGTAACAAACATACATTTTAGTATACATAGATAGTGTATATTAAAGTGCTACATATTATGTTTCTTATGCAATTACAGCAAATATTGTTATTATTTTTTAAACATATTAAAATATAAATAATAACATAAAATAATTGTTTTATCAATGTTATGAATGAGCTTAAAATGTATGTAATACAATTTAAATATTTCTAAATACAATCTTATACTGTAAAATTCATAAACAAAAATTTGGCAATTTTGTTGGACTAGAGCACAAATTTAATAACCATTTATACAAAAAACATTAATAAAAATAAAATGTTGTACATATTCAACACAATGATACATAATAATAAACCAGATAAAAAAATAATTATATTAACTAATTAAACTATATAAATCATGTTTTATAACTATCAAATTAACATTATTAAGTTGATATAATATAAAATTAAGAACATGTATATAGAAATATGATGGGAAAAAGTTCAACATATGTCAATTTGACATAAATACAAGATACAACTCATCTCAATTGTTTTTATAAAATATATTTATTACTAATACAATATAATTTTTCATCCATTTTCCGTAAAGCAACGTCCAGACCTATGATTCACATTTTTTCAACAATGTTTCTGGTTGCATGTTATAAGCGGTATCATACATTTTTGTTTCCCACAAAGATAAATGTATCCTAGATCTGGATGCGGCTAAGGGGTACAAAACTCCAAAACCCCTTAATTTACCATAATTTGAAAAATTAAAATTAAATTATTATTAACAATTACATATACAATAAGTTACCAAAATAAAATAAAATACAGTATCATGTTAATTATATTGTCTTTAGCATGTTTGATAGAGCTGGCGGTATTTTTGGTATATTGATGATTAACTGTTATTTTCATACACTGATATATTGTTATAGTAATATATCAATGTCCTTGGCTGTAATTATTGATACACAAGTAGATCAGTTTAACTTAATTATGATTTATTGATACATAAAAAATGTATGTAACCTAACATCATAATTTAATTTTAGTGAATAGTTCTACATACTTAAGTATAGGTAAAGCCCCCGTAAGTCTGCTTGAATTTTTTTAGGGGTATGTGGTTTATATGTTTTTACCTTGTCTGCCCGAGTATTTTTAAACTACTTAGGCGCCGCTGCTATCATTTAGAAGTGTTTAAAATATCAAATCTTAAATTTCTTAATTTCTATACTACCTTCTAATTATATGTGGGGTGCATGTATAACTTTGCTTAAACTACAATAATATTTAAAAGAGTTAAAACTTTGCATTGGAAATAAAAAAGTATTTTTAAACCAAACACATATATATTATTTAGATTTGAGAGATCACAAATAAATTAAATGAGTATTACAATTATTTTTTATCTATACAGTAAGTTTGTAACATACCTAACCTTCAAAAGTACTTTAAATTATTGGGTTTTGACACAATGTGCAATATTACAGTAGCTTATAATGTTACCAAATAAAACCTAAATATAGTAGGGACTAAATTATGACAAATACCTTCTATAACTGGAGAGTGAATTGGTTATACTGCCAGCTCCATATTTAAGTATTTAACAATCAATTAGTTAAAGTAATGATCTATGATGCAAAGTATATTTACTTTAAGCTGCTTAGTCAAATACAAAACAATTTATGATCACTATGATGATGGTTCATTTTCATTTGAATGGTTACTTTTTTTTACATGTATCATTTCTAGTTGTTTTTTGAGGTTCTGGCTTAATTGTGTTAAATTTTCCTAAATAAAAAAATTAATCGAATATTATTCAAAATTATCAATAATCATTCTATGAATATCCTGTATATTGATTTGGAATTGCAGACAAAACCCACAGCTAAAAATTATACAAATTATAACATAATAATATTTTTTTTTTTTTCATTATGGTTTCACCAATATGAAATCCTTATGATTAGGCATTAAATGTATGCAATACTGAATAGCATTTCCAGTTTTTAGTTTTAATATTAACAGCAGTGTTTATATTAGTATTAGGTGTAAAGATAAAAAGGATTAACAATACTCACTTTTTCATTTTTGAGTTTTTTAATTTCTTCATCATCTTCATCTACTTCTTCATCACACAAGATTTCTTCCTGACTTAAACGCTCTGCCAATTGCTCCATATGTCTTGATAAATATGCTCTTTCAGTTTGCACTTTTAAATATTCTTGAGCAAGCTAAAAATATGTATAAAATAAGTACCAATTAGTTTATTTTTTCAAGTATTGTGGCTTGTAATTATTAAAAAATGTAAAAACTAAAAATACAAAAATGATTTATCTGTAGTAAATGCACTAGGTAAATTCAAAAATACATTTTTAGAATTTATTGAAGATACTAAGAATTCATTATTTATAATAACCTTAAATTAAAATTGGAACCATTTATTTTACCAACTTTCACTTTGGTTTTAATTTTAATAATTTAAAATATTTAGTTTCCATATAAACTATACATTAATTATGGTTATTACTTATTTCCTATATCAATTATAAATCCATTTATACAGAAATAGGGTTTTAATAAAATTACCAAATCTAAATATATTTAGCTTGTATAGTTTTTAAAAAAAATAATAAAACTGTAATTTAGGTACCTGTTTGTGTTCTTCAAATATTTGAACTGATTGTGGACAAGTGGTATCTGGGGGTATTGGATGCAACTGTTGATCTAACATCAAGTACAAATTATCCAGTTCGGGATGTGTTCCAGAAACACCTGGATTATAATATTATATAGAATTGTTAAAAATGTTAATACATCAATCTTTATAATATTTTGATAGTTTCCAAATCAATAATTATTTGGTATGTTTAATAAATTGTAATTCAAGTAATTGTCTATCATATATTGATTTACAATAATATCTATTGATGAGGCAGGTCATTAAGCAAACGAAGCCAAATAGATTGGCTACCTACTTACTATAATGTTCATTTGTGACGCACTCGCTAAGCTCACACATAGTTGTTGTCCGTCAGGAATCGAGCAAGGAAATAAACATACAAATACACAACACTAGGAAAACACTACTCTCTCTACAGCCGTGTCGTGTCTAAATCTAGCCGAATGACTCACACCCTTTACAACGTGAGCCAGATCACTCCAGACATCTGGACCACAGATCTGACATCCCGTTAACCACAAATCATGAAAGTATTTTGTTGGTATAAAAAAAGGTGCCGTACATAATATAAAGCACAAATATACTAAAAATTTTAATTAATACTTATTTTCAATTAAAATGTACAACAAATACATTATATCTTTTATGGAATGGATCATCCAAGGACAATTACGCAATATTCTGATATTTTATTCAAATTTAAATTGGGATAAGTACCTTGGTACCTAAGTATTATTATTAATTACTCTATTATTATTGCGTATACCTATCAATGTAAATTTTGTATGTTATTGTTGAACTAATAAATTCAAACTATTTCGAAGATGAGTCATTGTAAGTTGTAACTGTTTAATACTAACTACGCGTCTCTGTCGATTAATTATTGCAACAGATGCCAGATACAGTCATGATTATTCTGGAAATTTTTTGTTCAAAGAAATACTGTAATACAATGTTACCAGTGTATAGTGTGAATATATCATAAGTTTGATAGTAAGGTTCAATTTGACGTCTTACCTGTACAAAGGTTTTGGAAATGATGGAACTCATCTAAAAGTTACATATAGCTAATAAATAACCCCATGGCAAAATAACCACGGAAAACATAATTCTATAATAAAAATTGTATGTACCTATTTTTTATTTTAAATACAATAAAATCAAATTTTTTGTTTTTTTTTTCAAATAAACTGTTACAATATTAAAATTGTCGAACTATTTACGCCTACTAGTTAGTATTGGCGTATTGGCGTATTGGCGTAGCGTAACTGCGTAACTGTAACCAAAGTCAAGGAACATGATATTCTAATATTATATAGAGTACAAATAGGACAAATAGGTATTGTTCAATAGCTCATGGTTCAGTCATAATTATTAACGAATATGAGATTGATGTGTCATGACTAGATACTAGTGTCTACATAGTGAGCAGTACTAAAGATACTTTTTTTGTTGCGTTCATAACTTCGCAAATGTCTATATCATGTGGCGAATTTATGGGGGAGGGGGGGGCATGGTGGGCAATTGCCCCTAACAGCAATTTTTTTGGAGTAGTAAATTTAACACATGTGTTGGGTTTTTTAAGGAGCGAGGTAAATTGGCACAATAAAAAAACTGGTGGGGGAAATAGCTACAGAAAGAATTTTAAAAAATGTGTACCCTGGGCACCAAAATCCTAAATACGCCACTGGTCTATATACTAGTAAATTATAATAAAGAATAATACAAAAGTCTTATGACTGACTAGTGACGACTGTTATTTAAGAGCTTATCAGCGCATTTGTTTGCTCTCCCCAACTCACATGCAATATAGCAGACTTGATTCAAGCAGAACCAATCTTGTGTTCTTAGCTTTTTAACATTAAAGTGAATTGACTTATTATCAAACCACCTAGGTTAAGAACATCTGAACATTCTTTGTGTTTGTATGAAGACTTTTTTGAAAGTTTAATTTTTATTTCTATTGTGAATTTGTGAGTTTGCAAAATATTACAAATTACAAATGCTTAAATCTCGCTTTAAAATTTAAATATCGTAAAAAGTAAACGTACAAACACGAGTGTGAATTAGAGAGAAAACAAAATTTGTTAAACTATTTAATGGTGTGCTGACATACTATATATACCTATAATAAGGTTACGCATAATAACGAGGTAATCAATCAATTAAAATGAAAATGTAAGTAAATAATAAGCTCTCAAATTGTTTGCCGCTTAGTAATTTATTATTAATTGTAACGTCGCCAATTACGTTATGCTGTTATGGTGTTGGGCAGCCATTTAGTATACTGGGATTTTAAACACCGTACACGTCTTTGTGTTCCGCCAGCTATTTACGTAAATTCTAAATTTATCTGGCCATGCTCTTTATTAAGAGACGTTTTTGTCGACTACCCTTTCATTCGTACTCTTTACACAAATGTATAATTTTATTATTGTCCTAAATAATTGTAAAAAGGCTATATGGGTATAAAATTTAACAAGAGACAACAAAATATTTTGCATACAGGTAAATCTAATATAAATGTAATATTCAAATACAGAAGCTGAAAGCAATAGCGCAATATTTTTAAAAATTATTATTTTTTGTGTTTATAAATATCTTTTTATTTAAATAAATATAGTAATTTATTCATAGAATACTAGATTTAAATAAAGACATTTTTAAATCAAATAAAATTATTAATAATACTAAAATAAGACATATATTATAATTATTTATACACAAAAATAGTAATTAAAAGATAATTAAAAAACACTAAAAAGAAGAAATTCTTCCAACGAACGTATGTATATTTTATACATAATACATTGTACTTGTACTTGTAATAACTAAATACAATTTATAAAATATATTGTAAAATGTAGGTAGAAGATTTTATCTGAACAAATTCATTAATTATAGCCAAACTTTTAAGGTTTGGAACAAAATCTTAAACAGTACATACTAGATAAGACATTTGTATTAGAATGTCTGGGAAACAGGGTTGAACACTGCATACAACTCTAAGGTCACGTCCTTCTGATGCATATAAACACCGGAAACAAAATGTTTGTATTGACATGGTGATACTGGCAAATAGCCACCTTACTCATAACACGAGAAAAAACTGGAAAACATAGACGGACAGGGGCGCACTGACAGAGGGGATGAGGGTGTAATTTCCCCCCTTTGGATTATTTTTGTCATACAAATTTACGATAAAGGATCAATGAATGTATATATAACGTGGTCTGAAATTCATATCTCCCCTTTCAAAAAACTTGAGCACATCACTGCAGACGGACATTGGTTTGATTCTTTTTAGGCGGGGAATTAGTTCTCCCACTCATTGGCTCTCTCGGCCTCTCTGAATATAAGAATAATGCTTTTAATCATATTTAAAATAATACATTTTGCGGAACAATTTATAATGCAAATTGTATATACCCAACTCGGAAGGATGATTTCGTTCAAATTATTTATTTGAATTACTATTTACTAAAGATAACTGTTGAATATTTCTTTATTTAAGTACATAGATAATATAAATAACACCTATCTATTAATCTATTATTCAAGTTATGTAATGTACATATCCTTCAGATAAGTTATACATTTTGCATAAAACATTGTACCCTTGAAATATCAAACTTACTTTAGATATTGTAAAAGAACGTTAATATACTAGCCTCAGAAATAAACTATTATAGCATTACCCCCCCCCCCCCGGAATTCATAACTACTGCACTGTTGTACTGGAAAAAACGTCCTCTTTAAAATCTAATTTCGATTTTTTGAATATAAATCGTTTTATCAAATTTTGGGATATTGAATTAAAAATGATAGACAAAAATATTTATTAACAATTGTTTTACCATATTAGTAATAAAAATTATAAACTTGTAATTGTTGTGCTGTTGTGCATTAATAATAAGTACATTATACAACAGATAATCCAAAAGTTTTTTTTTGGCCAAGCTATGGGTCATTCACCATATGACTCATGCTGATGTGATTTATTATTAAAATAGTAACTGGCGTTCACGTGTCATCAGAAAAAATGATCTCTTTGATGGATCATTTAACTTGGCGGTCATTCGCCTTAAAGAACTTTTAAAAATAAATCTGTGTATTCAAAAGAGGGTAAACAGGGGGGCATATTTAAAGGGGTACATTTTTTTAAGAATAGTTTTCCAAAACAAAATTTAATATCAAACATCAATTGTTTTTGAAACACTAATTAAAAATAATAGTGTCCCCAGATAACTTCTGATTCCTTTGCTTCTTATTACCTACTTTTAATGATATTGTGAAAATGAAATAATACTATACGATATTAAAGACCTATTTTTTAAATACTGTTTGCATAAGATGTATAATTATTTATTGTTCAGCAAATAATAATTAATAAATACATTTTGATTGGTATATTAAAATAAAAGTAACATTTTAAAATTGTCTCTATGTTCTCAATAACTTAGAAATACTGGAAATCTATAATAAATAATAATTTAACATAAAGAAAATTTATATATTTCTAAATTAATAATTATTTTATTTATTGATTGATTCAGTTCTTTAAAATATACAGCAATGTTTTGTACATAGGCGTGCGCAGACTCCGGTTTCAGGGGAAGCAAGAGATTAATTCGGCCCATTCTTCAAATTCATCATTAAACCCAGCCCATAGTTTTATTATTTTTGCTATTGGGTATCAAAATTAAAGTTGTATTGATTATTTGTTTATTTGGATAAACAATTGTACAGTTTTTATAGTAGACAGGTGTATTAGTTTTATACTGATAAATTCTATAATCATAAAATATTCATATCTATACTTGACCAAAAAAAAAAAAAATCATTTGCGGAAATATAATTTTACGGAGGCCCATTATTTAATATTTGCCGGCCCTGGTAGCCCCAAATAAAGTCCAGGGGCAGCATATGCTGCCTCTGCTGCCCCCGTGCGCATGCCTATGGTTTTGTATCAACTGAACAAAACAAAATATAACAATGTTTTCAATGACAGTTGAGATAAATAGTAATGTTGGACAAAAAATTTTTTTTCACAATCCTATGAACACGGTCAATATTTTTTTCATCCAATATC